TCGGTATGTTTAAGCTCACCACAATTCATACATTTTTCTTTTGCTTTACAATTCGTTTTGGTGTGTCCAAATCTTAAGCAGTTGTAACATTGTGTTACTGGGGGAATGAACACATTAACCAATTTTGGTAGATCGTAAAAATTTATTGATTTAGGCATTAAAACACCACTGAATGTGAACAAAACTGTACCTGTAGGTTCGTATGTAGTTGTATCCCCTTTGACTACTCTCCTGTTTAGCCTTTTAGCATTGAGAATTTTAATATCGCTGTTAGTAGAACAACATTCAATAAGTTCATTTTCATTTATTTCAACATCTATTTGACGTACAATACCTTTACAAGATATATAATTAAAAGGTATATAAATTTTGTAACCTTGATCTAATAAATTTTTGTTATTTAGGAAATTATTTGCAGATAGATAATTATTAAACTCTATAGAAATTCGGTTTGAACCTTTGCTTCTAATTTTATTAATATTATTTAATTTCAAATTAAAAATATCTCTCGCAATTTTTATATTATTGAAAGAACCAACTCTAATATTATTTATATTTGTTGACTCAATAAACACAAAAAACGGGCCAACATCTTTTTTAGAATACATATATAGTTGAATTTAATTTTTTATTTTCATTTTCATTGGGATCAGGGGGGGTAACCCAATCCTCCACCTTATTCATAAAGAATCAGTCAGAACTGTCAAATTTTTGGTCACAAAAAATGAATAAAAAATTATTTTTATCAAACTAAAATTCAAAATAATATTACAAAAAAGTACAATGCTCAAAATACCTGTTCAATTTACAAGGATAGGTTTGATTCTGTTCTATTTGGCACAAACACGCACCTCTTTTCTTCGTTGACAGTAAGTAGCTCTTTACTGCACGAACGACGACAGGGGAATGAGCGTGAGTCGTTAAGAGGGACAGAAGCAATTTGACAGTGAATCTGACTTTATTAACTAATATGCGACCCGTTATATTATGAGCCACTGGTTGGTCTGTAAGCACAGTGCAGTCCCAGTACAGCTTGTAGTTGTTATTTTTCAGCATTATGTTAGGGAAGTGTTGATAATAAAGAAGGTGGTCAGTTTGGAGGAGTCCCAGTTGGTCACCTAATTCTTGGTGGATAATATTTCCTACTCAGTCATGGCGTTCTTTATAATCAGTACCGACAAATGCCGGGCAGCCTCAGGTAAGATGTTGGATGGTTTCTTGGGCTTGGCTTTTCGATATGAATTATCAGCATCTGTTTATTCAGTTGCTCACCTATGTCCATAAATCCTCTTTTCCCTTTATATCGCGGTAATGTTTCCCTTTTCTACTGCACTGCGTGGATAGCGTTTTTACGCCTTTGTGAGAAGTGTTTTTACTTTCCGCTAAAAACTCTCAATATCCGATTTTGACCACTTTATAATACCAAATGAGTAGTTTGCGCGGAACAGGCGTACGTCTTTAATGCCTTAAATACATTTTTACTATTAAGGTAAGACCGATTTAGTTGTCTTACTCTTCGTACTCGGAAGATCAAACTCGGAGACTTGATCCCACCGTCACATTTTTTCAGATAAGTTTTTTTATAACCGATCTAGACCCTTGATAATTTGGTGGAACATTACAAATTTATCAAAGTTTTGGGTGTTATACACCCGAAAAATGTACTGCTAATAAATAACGAGTTTTTGTAGAATCTAGTAATAGAGAAAAACTCATCATGTCTTCCCGTGCTTCGGGAGACTTGATCCTTGTGTATGGGAGACTTGATTATACCTTTCCAGATTTACAATATTAAAATAAAACCAAAAATTTGACGCTGAAAACTAACTTTACTCAATCATGACATAAAAAATAATATTATTAAAAATATAAACACTTTCTTGCAGAAAATTATATTCTAAAAGTTATAAAAGTGAAAAAAAAATATTGTTGAATATTGAACATTCTCAGTTATTTAGGAAAGACAAAACATCCTATGCGCTTACTGTGGCTCCTAAAAGTAGGGATTGGTAACTTTTTTAAAATTTGGTCACGTGCGACTTCACCCATGTCTTGCGACTTTTTTTTTCTGGTCACTTAAAGGTTTTGTCATCTGCTTTTTGGGCAAATTTGATTTTAAAATCCGTTCTTTCTTCCCGTTATCTGTCCTACGTAACGATGGACTAAGTTTCTTTCGGAGATAAAGTTTACAACTTACTTGTGTTCTTGTAAGGCCATGGTGTAATTTTCTGGCAACATTTAAATAATTTTAAAACATATTTTCCTCTGCATTTATAAATATTTGAGCCTTTTTGTAACCAGGAGAGAAGGATATTTTAACATTTTCGGATCTTTGTCTGCGAACGTTTTTAATGTCATAATATTTATTTGAAAACGACTTGTCGTTCCCTTGAGAGACGTGCCGTTATTAAAAACGTCTAAAACAGCTTCTTTTAACCTCTAGCTGTCGACTGGTGTTCTTTTCTTGGCTCCTTCTCTCCTCTTGTATTGCCGTGGCATATCTATAAAATAAAAAACATTCATCTATAAGGAGTTTCTGGGAGAATTGATCCCGGGATCATATCTCCCAGATAAGAAGGAATCACGTCTCCCCCATGAGGTCATTTTAATATTTTAGTCTATAAAAATATGACAACAAACTAGAACTACTCTTGTGTTAAATCAAAAATTATACGAAACACTCACCTTAACAAATAGTAAAGAAAATCAACTTGAAATAATTCTGAAAACACTTCTCGGTAGGGACAAAATAATTGTAATGAACACGTGCTCTTCGTTATGTATTCTAACGAAAACTAAATTACATGGGATGATCTACTGCCACAGTATAGTGCTTTTTAAAGCACTATACTGTGCTACTGCCATACTAACAGCTATGCTATGTTGCCAGTTTTATAATTCTAGGCTGCTTATTTACTGAAATTTTAAAGAGTGATCAAGTCTCCCATATAATCAAGTCTCTCTTTCTTTCCTATTGTCTTTATACAGGGTGAGTCATAACTATTGGGACATAGACTAAGGACTGGTTATTTGGAGCAAAATATGGCTATTGAGCCAAATATTCCTTAATAAAATGTTGCTGAGAAAAAAGATACAGGGTGTTAAAGTTAATTTTTGTTTTTCGTTTTTTGCTAATAGTTTCCCTGTATATTTATAAATTGCTATCAAAATTGGCACAGAGGCATAATCTTAGACAAGAAATAGTATTTTATTCACAATTCCACTATCAAATACCAAACTAATAAACAAAGTTGCAACTAACGTAAGGTTTCCGTTTTGACGATAAATCAAAACTAAACACACTTTAACCTAACAGAACTCACAAAAACTCAAACCATGTTCTACATGGTCTCCTCCGATTTCTATGCCTTTTCTAATTCTTTTTATAAAGGATTTTCGGACGTTAAAAAAAATATTATTCTGTCCCCTTACAAGATTAGCTGCATTTTGAATGTATCTCCAAAGTTCGTCTCGTCTAATAATTTCATTGGCATAAACTAAGGACTTCATATGTCCCCAAAAATAAAAATGTAGCGGGTTGTACTCAGGACTTCTTGGTGGCCATTGAAAATCACTGCCTCTGCCAATCCATCGTTGAGGAAATACGTCATTAAGATGATTCCTAACAGCTAATGAAAAATGAGGTGGCGCTCCATCCTGCACATTTTTCTTCTTACATCCAGTGACAGATCATCTAAAATATCACTAAGAGTATTTTCCAAAAAGAATAAATAAGAATCTCCATTTAAATTCGGAGGAAGAACATAAGGCAATAGTAGTTGCTCGCCTATAGTGCCCCACCAATTATTAAATTTATACTCATGCTGAAAATGTCTAGCTTTAATAGCATGCGGGTTTTCTTCTTCCCAATAATGACTATTTTGCCCATTAAAAACCCCTCGTTTGGTAAAAGTTGCTTCGTCGGTGAACATAATATTTTTAATAAAGTGTCTGTCATTGCGATGTTTATTTAGAATACGTTGGCAAAACTGTAACCGTCGTGGAAGATCTGTTGGAAGTAAATTTTGGAGCGAAGTGATAAGGATGGAGGTTCTCTTTGTTTTAGAATTCTAACAATAGACGACTGACTTACTCCTGTTGCTGCTGATAGATGTCGTGAACTTATTTCAGGATTTTCATCTACTCGAACCAAAAGTTCATTTCTTGATTAGGTGTGATTTGTTTCGATCGACCACCCCGATTTTTAGTGTGAAATTTTCCAGTTTTACCTAAACTACGATATAATCTTGCAAAAGTTTTGTGATTTGGTTGCCTTCTATTTGCGTATAACATTCCATACCTTCTGGCTGCCGAGCGACCGCAAAAATTTTCTTGTGCGTATACGCAAATCATATCTTGCATTTCTTCATTAGTAAAATGATTGTAACGAGGCATTTCAATCAAACAAAATAATGATTACTTTTAAAAATGCAACATTACACTACGCTGTCACATCAAAAATAATTTACTCTGAACAAATGACATTTACCAACAACAATTATCTGACAGTCCAAAGCATACTTTTCATAAATGAAATAATATTTGAAATCCTTTTTTAAGACTCTTTGCAGTTCGACTGCGTTTTATCGAAAACGGTTAAAATTATCATGTTTAAACAAAAGTACCAATTTTAAAACGAAACGAAAAGCAAAAATTAACTTTAAGACCCTGTATCTTTTTTCTCAGCAACATTTTATTAAAGCATATTTGGCCCAATAGCCATATTTTGGTGCAAATAACTTGTCCTTAGTCTATGTGCCAAAAGTTATGACTCACCCTGTATATTTTCAATATATCTATAAGCCATTCATGCGGCACTGAATCAAAGATCTTCTTGTTAATTGGTTATGCCTTTTTCATTATTGTTATATACATACGCTGTTTATTGATTTTATAAATTCCATTTGGTAAATTTTTATAATAAGGACGCCATTTTAGTTACTATCTGGAAGATAAGGAGCTGTTGGAATATATCTTTATAGTTTTTACTGTTTTTGTAGACTAAATTCATATATTGCTTTGGGCGCTTTGGATGAGATAAACAACAAACTAGTAGGTGCATTATTGATATATACATATCCTAATGTACCCGTCATCCCTCCTTGGGAATGGGACCATTGGCTAAAGAAAAAGTATGGTATATACGATGCATTGCCAAGAAACACACTCTTCGTTCATTTTGCTGCATCTGTCCCAGAATATCGAACGCTCTTTTGGAGACCTCTTATAACACACTTGTTTAAGATGAGAAATTTTTTAAAATATTGTATTATCGTCATACCACCTGGTAAACATAATTTGGATTTTTTGGGGGATATGGGAGTTAAAGTTTTTCCTAAGGGTAAGTATTTCTTTGACTATACGAAGATTTTTTTTCATTTTAATTTTTTACATATTATATTTAAAATGTTGTACGTAGTCTTTTATTAAATAAATGTTACGCACAACTGTTCTGAATAATTTAAAACAATATTTCGTACAGTGGCTACTGATGATATTACCAATGGCGGTTGATAATAATTTTGTTCATGGGGCGCTCATTCCAGAATATAAAAAAATAAATAGGTATTTGCCAAAAACTTACTTCTCAAAATGAAACTCAATGCTTCTGTTTTTATGTTTTTTTGAAGATAAACGTTTCCTTTACCTTTTCGTTGAAGTCAAAAATCTTTTAAACCAACGTTTTTTCAACAGACAACAATTTTTCGCCGATGGCAAGCGCCGTCAGTCTTTCTTCTGATACTGTATTGCTTAAAAACGTCTGGATTAATTTTAAAGTAAAGAATCTTTTAATTTCTAAATTTATCAATAGATATCTGACTTTGTACGCCAACTTTCCAGTTCCAAATCACAATAATTGTTATGTCGAAAAAAATTTATATCGGAGTGACCACTTTCAAATTTTAATAGAAGAACATTCGATGAGATCTACAAAGTTAAACCTGAACCGAAACGAAGGCCGTAGTGAATCATCAAATATTTTCTTAGGAAATTCAATACACGAAATAATTCTACAGTTCAATAAACTCAAAACCAAAGCAACTCTAAAAGCGATAGGTAAAACAAAGTTCTTGGTGAAATGAAGCAGAACAACTAGCCCAGGAGAGAGAAGGATGGAATGAAATCATAAAAAACTGTGAAAACCTGATGGTGTCACCACATCCCAAAGGGGATTAGGACTGAGGAGGAGGAAATGAAGAATTCCCATAAGCTTTTAAGGAAAGTAAAAAGCTCTTTAAAAGAACAAACGGCATGAGAACATAGAAAATTTAATTGAACATAAAAGAAGTAGGGCTAGAGCCATACCGGTTACTACAATATCTAAAAGAAGATCGTAGATCAAATATATATAAACGATCAATAATTACACACCTTTATACACATCGACCATGCTGAAGAAGATTGTTACAACTTAAAATTTTCTGTATTCAAGATTTATGCAGTAATCAACCGAAAAAGTGGTCGACTTTTCTGAGAAAAATGATTATAACTGTAGTTCAATATTTGTATGCGAGATTGCGACATGCAACGTGGTAACGTCAGTGGTTTTGACAGACACTTATGAACAAGAGTGTTTCAATTCAGTGTATTACCGAATGTACATGTGGGATTATACTTCGCTTCATTCCATCAGTCTAGAACACAATGGCATCACTGCTTTGCTGTGACTCACGCACCTGTTAAAAGAAAATAAAACCAAATTCCATCCGGTCACACCCGGTCTGGCTTCATTCTTGCTTTTAGTGTCTTACGCATTAGTCGCTATAAAGTGTTTCTTGCGTTAGTGCTCAATAATGCCGAAAAGAAAACATAATTTATCAGAAATTGTAAGACAGCTATGAGACCTTCAAAATGCTGTCACAGAATTATCAGCTAACAACTCCTCATGTAAGTAATTTAATCAATTATTACGGTTATTGGGATTTTTCCAACGCAAATATAACATTACTCATCACTTAGTTAATATAAATTTCGGCTGACGGTGTTTTTGTTTATTTGTTTACAAAATTATAAGGTTAATATTGCACTTTAGATATTTTATGAGATAACTTCCTAAGGGTGTGTAGGGATTTACCTTTTTAAAGGCCGTACCACACAATATTTTGCCGTATTTTCAATAAGTAAAATACACAGACTTAATTAATAAATGGTGTGCAAGGATTTACCTCATAGAGGCCTTGTATCACAAAATTGATAGATGTTTACGTAAATATGAATACATATCGATGGTATAATGAAAATAGTTACGTAATCGTGTGTAAGGATTTACCTTTTATAGGCCTTATAACACATTTTATTTTAACAAGCAGATACAAAAATAAATTTTGTAAGTAATTTAATCAATTTTGTTACTGTTATTGGGAATTTTGATACGCAAATATAACATTACTTATCACTCACTTAATATAAATTTTGGCTGACGGTGTTTTTTGTTTTTCTTTACAAAATTATAAGGTTAGCATTGCAGTTAGATATTTTATGAGATAATTACGTAACGGTGTGTAGGGATTTACCTTTTTAAAGGCCCCACCACACAATATTTTGCCGTATTTTCAATACGTAAAATACACAGACTTAATTAATAAATGGTGTGCAAGGATTTACCTCATAGAGGCCTTGTATCACAAAATTGATAGATGTTTACGTAAATATGAAGACATATCGATGGTATAATGAAAATAGTTACGTAATCGTGTGTAAGGATTTACCTTTTATAGGCCTTATAACACATTTTATTTTAATAAGCAGATACAAAAATAAATTTTGTAAGTAATTTAATCAATTTTGTTACTGTTATTGGGAATTTTCCAACGCAAATATAATATTACTCATCACTCACTTAATATAAATTTTGGCTGACGGTGTTTTTTGTTTTTCTTTACAAAATTATAAGGTTAGCATTGCAGTTAGTTATTTTATGAGATAATTACGTAACGGTGTGTAGGGATTTACCTTTCTAAAGGCCCTACCACACAATATTTTGCCGTATTTTCAATACGTAAAATACACAGATTTAATTAATAAATGGTGTGCAAGGATTTACCTCATAGAGGCCTTGTATCACAAAATTGATAGATGTTTACGTAAATATGAATACATATCGATGGTATAATGAAAATAGTTACGTAATCGTGTGTAAGGATTTACCTTTTATAGGCCTTATAACACATTTTATTTTAACAAGCAGATACAAAAATAAATTTTGTAAGTAATTTAATCAATTTTGTTACTGTTATTGGGAATTTTCCAACGCAAATATAACATTAATCATCACTCACTTAATATAAATTTTGGCTGACGGTGTTTTTTGTTTTTCTTTATAAAATTATAAGGTTAGCATTGCACTTACATATTTTATGAGATAATTACGTAACGGTGTGTAGGGATTTACCTTTTTAAAGGCCCTACCACACAATATTTTGCCGTATTTTCAATACGTAAAATACACAGACTTAATTAATAAATGGTGTGCAAGGATTTACCTCATAGACGCCTTGTATCACAAAATTGATAGATGTTAACGTAATCGTGTGTAAGGATTTACCTTTTATAGGCCTTACAACACATTTTATTTTATTAAGCCGATACAAAAATAAATTTTGCAGATCAGAATTCTAACGATTTACATTATAATGTTTTGTGCAAGGATCGACCTTTTCATAGACATTTTCAATACGAATGTAATGGTAAAAATCTGTGTTTTTCTTATAATATATTGTAGATATAGCATTCGAATTTTTATTTATTTTAATTTTTTACATAACAATGTGTAAGGGTTTACCTTATTTATAGGCCTTACAACACATTATTTTTTTAAGCAAGCTGGTACAAATAATTTGCGGAATAAAATCTAACGACTTGCTTTACAATGTTTTGTGCAAGTATTGATCTTTTTATAGACCTTTCTGGAACGGTATATGGTATCTGTGATATTCTTGTGATATATATCGTGGATATAGCATCGGATTTTCATTTATCTTAATTTTTTATTTATTTATTTGTTTATTTTCTTCCTTATTTCACTTTTTGGTTATCAAAACTGAATGAGGAAGTAAAGTTGCTAGCCCCCAGTGAGAATATTAAAAAAGACTCCTACCTAGAGCATATACAAACTTGTTTGGGTAAGGGTTTAAGTGCCTTCGGAGCTGTTTTTAACCAGATCTTAAAAATGCCGACAAACAGCATTACGGATTGTGTTGGACGTTTGGCAGATGCTGCGAAGCTACTTACACATTCTCAATATTTAATATCTCTCCATCGTCGACATGAGCTATTCCCTAGGCTCAATCCTGAAATAAGGAAAATAGCCAAGGTTGGTCCAGTAGATCAAGATCTTTTTGGAATGGATCTTGCCAATAGGTGTAGAACTGCACAGGCTTTAAAGAAATCTAGTTTTGACTTAAAAGCACCGTGTAATTCAAATAAGAAAGGCTTTATATCCTCATTTTTTCTAGTACCAAAGTCTAGTGGAGGAAAGAGATTTGTTTTAAATTTGAAACGATTAAATTCTTATATTACAGCTCCACATTTTAAGTTAGATGATTATAGGTCTGTAAAAAGTTTAATTACTCCAGGTTGCTACATGGTCTCTCTAGATTTAAAGGATGCTTACTTTGGAATACCAATCAATAAACAACATCGTAAATTTTTTAAATTTCAATACAAGGGAAAAATGTTTCAATTTAACGTTTTACCTTTTGGTTTATCAGTCGCGCCATATTTATTCACAAAAATTTTAAAACCTGTTACTCAATATTTAAAAGTTAGAAATATTCTTATTCTTAACTACTTGGATGATTGTTTATTGTTAGGGATACAAAATCAGAATGCAATAATAATCTAAAAATTACAATTGAACTGTTTCTAGAATTGAGTTTCATAATTAATTATAAGAAAAGTACGTTCATTAGAACTCAACAAATAACGTTTTTAGGGTTTACCTTTAACAGTGTTGATATGTCATTGTCTCTAACTCAGGTAAAAATTACCAATACAATAACAATAATTCGGTCAATTTTAAAGTTTCAAACTTGTAAAATCCGTCGGTTTGCGAGAATTATTATTTCTCTAATATCGATTTGCCCTGCAGTTAAATACGGTTACCTCTACACCAAAATCGTCGAACGGAAAAAATATTTAGCTTTAAAAAAAAAAAAAAAAAGGTGGGGGCTATAATAGACATTTATTAATTGATAACGATATTCGAACTGAATTACATTGGTGGATATCAGCCATACCACAAGCAAAAACATCTTTGCAGCAATCTACATATCAAATGATAATTTATTCGGATGCTTCCTTGTCTGGATAGGGAGCTTGTTGTGATGCAGAAAAAATTCA